TTTTTACCTGGTGAGGAGGTGTGTTGGGATTTATATACTAATGGTTTTATCGAAAACTATTACAATTGGACCTCTCAAGGAGAACCAATCGAGGCATGTTATTTGCCGCAAGCTGCGGGAACATCTAACTATGTTCGAGACGAGATTGCTGGTTGGGGAAATTATGAAGATATGCAATGGGATCAACAAATGGTTTATGATTTGGGGACTTCTGCATTTCATAATACCCATCCGAATAATGATTTCACTGCACACACTAATGTAGATGAGGGACCAAGTTCATATTTTTATGATGTTGATGCGTTAGGCACTAGATTTCAAGATGTTCTTAAAAGTGCGGATCAACCATTATATTCTGATTGCGATGGTCATTCACAGTTATCAGCGGTTTCTGAATCTTTGAATATAAAGTCAGAATATAATCTGTCTGAGAATTGCATGTCCAAGATTCTTGACTCTGTTAGTAGCATGTTACCACGTGATCATTGTCTTTCCGACACTTATTACAACATGAAAAAATTCGTCTCTGGATTGAGTCTCCCCATGATTAAAATCCATGCATGCCCTGGAGGATGCATGTTATTTTGGAAAAATGACAAGGGATTGACCCGGTGTAAGTTTTGTAAAGAGGATAGGTACAAGCTTATTACCAAAATGAGGCACAAACCACAAAAAAGATCTGCAGCAGCGAAATTGATATAATTGTCTTTAGCACCGCGTCTGCAAAGATTGTATGCCTCAAGTGCTACCGCTAAATACATGACGTGGCATGTAGAACATGACACAAAAGAAGGATTAATGTGTCACCCATCAGATTCGGAGGCATGGAAGCATTTGGACCGATGCTATCATGAATTCACTATTGAGCCACACAACGTTCGTCTTGGGTTATGTGCTGATGGTTTTGCCCCGTATGGTCAATTTGGTGGACAGTTCTCATGTTGGCCAATTATCATCACACCGTATAATCTGCCACCAGACATGTGTATGAAACAACATTTTGTGTTTTTTTCGTTAATGTGTTCTGGACCTCGTAATCCTTAGAAACGAATCGATGTGTACCTACAACCATTGATTGAAGAGCTGAAACAACTATGGGATGTAAATGTTCCTACATATGATGTTTCGAGAGAGCAAATCTTTAATTTGAGAGTTGCGGTTATATGAACTATTAGTGATTTCCCAGCATATGGAATGCTTTTTGGTTGGAGTACCGCAGGCCTTATGGGGTGACCTGTTTGTATGGAGAAGTCAAATGCATTTTGGCTAAAAAATAGCCGCAAACCATCTTATTTTGATTGTCACCGCAGATTTCTCCCTCAAAACCATCCATATCTTAGGGACAAAAAGTCATTTCGCAAAGGGCGCATTGAGCGTGATCCTCCACCTCCGAGGTTGACAGGTTATCAAATTCTTAATCGTGTTCAGCACACTCCTTCTGCAATACATAAGAATGTCGATATTGACGTTTACCAACTAGAGTTTTTTCTCTCTCCGGTTCCACAAACTATTGACGAGGAACTGAATTTGGAATTATTTTACTGGAGCAGAAATAAAGCCAGATCCCAACGACGGGAACGATGACTCCAACGAAGGAGGTGAGTATGAAGAAGAATGGAACTTTCAGACGGAAGATGCAGATGAAGATGAGTACACTGACAATACTGACCCTGAAGATGAAGATGAATGAACAATATCAAATTTGTAGTTGTTTTGCATTTTTTTAATTATGCTTCTCATAAATAATGTTTGTATTTCAATTCGTACTAAATAAAATCATTTCGTATTATTCATTTTTTAAAAACTATTAATAAATTTAAATTAAATAATCTAAATTAAAAAAAACAAGCCAGCCTGAATTTAATATTTTAGTAATCATAATTTATCAAAAATAATGTTAAATTTCAACATACATGGACACATAATTAAACATTTTTATTAGATAAAAAGTTCAACATACATCACAAACACAAACTAAAATTCGATTATTACAAACGACACGCAACGAAATACAACATTAAATGATACAACAATTTCCATCTTCATGAAGTTGGTTTGCTATCAACTTCTTCCTCAACAAAGGTCTCAACACTGCTGATCTCAGGTTCATCAGGTTGAGTCAATAAGTAGTTGATTTCTTCGACAACAACATCATCAATAGGTTTCAGATATTTAAGTATCTGCCTCATTATATCAATTTTTTTCCTAAACCATCCCAATCAGGCTTTATTTATGCAGTTTCTTATTTTTTTCCATTGTTTTTTGTAGATCCTTCTTTTTTCCCAATGTTTTTTCCATTTTCATATTTTCCCCCCTAAACCATCCCAAAACTTATGTACTTCACTAGCCCTATTTATACTAAAATGTATATACTATTTGGCTAGGAAAATGGCGTGCCTAAACCGTGTCAAACCTCTCCCAATACTACCCTAACGTCTCTCTTTGTCACGGATATAGCCTTGCCAAAACCAAGCCAAGTTGGCTCTAACGCCTCGTTACTGACAGTTCTGACCATTCTGACGCGTGTACAGTTTGGCACAGATTGTTCCCTTCCAAATCCTAGACAAATTTGAAGTTTCGTTTCCTGGGGCAGACGTTTCGATGAACGATGTGGTGGGAGGGTATTTGGCTCTGAACAATTCCGAGCCAACAACGAACAGTCTATTCGAAGAGCCTAGAAACAAGTTGTCTCGGATTATCCGTCCCAAATTCCTTGCCAAATTAAGAAATATTTAAGTCGTATTTCGGCGTTTTCATCAAACCCTTTCAAGCCCTAATGCATTCTCCTTCTATGAGCTTACATCCACCCCACCCTTCTCCTTCTCTAACTCTGTAAACCCTTTCAAACCCTAATCCCAACCGATCATAGCCTCTCACTCCTCCTTGCCGGTTCTGTGAACGCCGTTATTCTACTCCGGTACGGTGAAGCCGCTCGTTCAGTTCATTGTCCATCGCTAGTTCAATAAGCTCATTCTACTCCGGTACGGTGATGCCTCTCATTCAGTTTATTGTCCCTTGCCAATTCATTAGTTCATACAGGTTATCTGTTCCTTATATTAATAATGATATTATTTTATGTTATCTGTTTATATGCTTGTTTTTATAATTTTAACATTTTTCGTTTCTTTCGTGAACTCTTTGGGTATTCTGTCTGAGAATTGCATGTACAGTATACTTAATCTATAAACAATATGTATGTGCATCCGTTCTTATTCAGAGTTATAAAATAACGTTAAGTATATAAATATGTGCTTTCGTCTCTCAATGTTATATTTAATGTATAATATATAGATAATATACTTATTTATACCGTACATGCAATTATAAAAATAATTTGTCTAAGGATTAAGTATGTGCATACTTGTATATAACATACTGTACATGTGGATATGACTGTTGTTTCGTGAATTCTTTGTGTATTTTGTTCATTTCATCCGAGCATGTGGATATGGCTGTTGTTTATACTTAATTTAATTTGTACGTGCATTCGTTCTTATTCGTTATGTTATATGAATTGATTTCACCCGAAATTATGAATTGATTTTATATTGTTTCTTGAACTCTTTGGGTATTCTGTCTGAGAATTGCATGTACAGTATACTTATTTTATAAACAATATGTATGTGCATTCGTTCTTATTCGGAGTAATATGAATTGATTTCACCCGAAATTATGAACTGGTTTTATATTCTTTCGTGAATTGTTTGAGTATTCTGTTCATTTTATCCGAGCTTGTTGATATGGTTGTTGTTTATACTTAATTTCATTTTTATGTACATTCGTATCTTATTTGTTCTATTAATTGATACACATGTGTTTAAGTATTCATGTTATGAACCAAATAAAATTTTTGAGTTTTAGTGATCATGTCTGCTGCTAGAGGAAGTATCAGTTCTTTCCGGGGAGGTCGGGGAGGTCGGGGAGGTTCTATGAACCAAAACCAGAATGTTGACCCGACTTCTCCTGTTCCTACTTCCCTTGAATCTGTTCACTCACGAGCAGTGAATGATGAACGTTCTGATCAAACGGGCCATGAGTCTGTCCAGAATGTGTCAAAAATCTGGATTTTACCCCATGAAATGCGCAGGTATGGTTGCTTTTTAGCTTGTCCGTGTTTATTTATATTCTTTCTTGAATATGTATGATAATTTGAAATAGTATTCATTTGTAGCAACCCTTGATGGATAGTGTACCCGAGGGGTAGCTTATCCGAGGGGTTATTGCGGAGAATAACTAGAGAGAAGTCAGAGCAAATAAGTAAGAGAGAGAGAGTGTATATTCGATATGTATTAAGCGTGGTTTACAATGGGGGAAAGGGGTGCTATTTATAGTAGTAATAAATGCTAGATACGGGGTGGCACTGGCACTCGCATGTGGCCGCATTAAATGCGGTGGTTGGATGTGACGTTTGTACTTGGTACGGTGATCCAGGCGCATGTGAAGAGGATATTCTATCGAGGTGGATGCCTTAGGCTGAAGGGTGCTGGGCCGAAGGCTCTTCTAACCGAGGGCTCCTACCTACCGAGGGCTGCAGGTGCCGAAGGCTTGGTTTTCAAGCCTTGTTCTCCTGTGATGCCTCTTCTAACCGAGGGCTCCTACCTGCCGAGGGCTACAGGTGCCGAAGGCTTGGTTTTCAAGCCTTGTTCTCCTGTGATGCCTCTTCTAACCGAGGGCTCCTACCTGCCGAGGGCTGCAGTTGCCGAAGGCTTGGTTTTCAAGCCTTGTTCTCCTGTGATGCCTCTTCTAACCGAGGGCTCCTACCTGCCGAGGGCTACAGGTACCGAAGGCTTGGTTTTCAAGCCTTGTTCTCCTGTGATGCCTCTTCTATCCGAGGGCTCCTACCTGCCGAGGGTTGCAGTTGCCGAAGGCTTGGTTTTCAAGCCTTGTTCTCCTGTGATGTTTCTGAACTCGATTCCGTCACTGGTAGCCTTCGGCCATAGGGCCGAAGGCACCCCTTTGCGTATTGTGGGCTGCTCAGAGCTCCATTTTGCTGGGCTTGGCCCGTTTGGGTCTGTTGGGCCTGATTGTAGTAGAGGAAGTATGTGGACCGGGGGTCCCTGGGCCATATACTCCATCAACCCTATTGTCCTTAACTCTATAATTTCGATCATTACCAACAATTTCCATGGGCCGTGGTACTCATTTAAGCATGTAGATGCAAATCAACAAGAACACTGGTGGCGGTTGTTTGAGGTACTTTTTTAAATATACCACTTCACTGTAGTTATTAATTTTTTACTTTTTAAAATTTTCTAAGGAAATTAATTAAATATGCTTATTTATTGTAGAGAAAGTATGACTGTGACCCATGCTATAATAACAGAATAAAGAAGAGGTTTCGTTCTAGGGCATATGAATGGTTAAGCAAGAACATTGGCCGCGCAAGACGGCAGAACAAGAAGCCGGAGTGGATATGTGATGGTGACTGGATGTTGTTGAAAGAGTATTGGGGGTCTGATTCATTCAAGAAGAAGAGTGCTGCCGGGAAGAAAACCCGCAACTCCCAGAAGGCGAAGGAGTCACAGTATCGTGGCGGGCGGATTCCGGTCAGTAGACATGTTGAAAAAACGGTAAGTTCCCACTTCACTTGTGTAGTTGAATTTTTCAATACTGTTTAGAATTATTAGCATTAAATTCTGATATATTTAGTATTTGTGTGTTCATAGACCAAAGATTTGAATCGGGCGCCTCTTAAGATTGAAGTTTATGAGAAGGTGTATGTTCCCAAGGAATTGAAGGTGATCCTCCACGGCGTGTTGTTGAGACTCGGATATGCTCTTTATTTGTTCTGAATATATATTAAACTTCTGTTTTTTTCCTGAATATCAAAGCACCTGATGACGTATTTTAACTTTCTGTATCATCTGCAGCAAAAGTACAATGAGTTGAAGGTGGAGGCTGAATCTCAAGGGAAATCGTACGAGGTTGATTATCGAGGACGGCGGTACGGGACGGGGTCTGAAGCGGAGTCTCTATCCGGAAGCATTGAATGTTCAAGCCGGCACTCGGGGCCCACCCAACAGGAGATTGATGCCCTTATAGAAACGCAAGTGGAAGCCCGATTCGCGTAGCAGGAGAAAGTTTGGCGAGAGCAGATGGAGAACATGTCCAGTGCATTTATGTCAGTTTTGCGACAAGTCCAAACCTCTAACCCGTCTGTCACGATGCCCAATCTGGAAGCTTTGTGTACCTCGACCCTTGTTCCGATGAACTGCCTGCATGATTCCCCCGAAGTTCGAATGGATGAACTGTTTTCCGACATTAATACAAATGACGTTGTTGGCCTAGTTAATGTCGGTTGGTTGAATGTTATGGACATCTTTATAATTTCTGTTATGGACATCTTTACTTTTAATTTTCCATGCATGTCAATTTGGCATGTTGAAACATTCTATTTATGTTTATATTGCACATTTCGTTTTTATTTTACATTTATTTTACATATATCGCATGTTTTATTGTTCAGTTTGCAATGGATAAAATTTACTGTTTGGTTGAAAAAAAAAAACGTATACCGTATATATGTACGGACACCGTACATATATACGGTATACGTTTTTTGAATCTAACTACATTTGGCTCGGAGATAGTCGTCCCAAACTTTGATGCAGACGATTCAAATATGTGACGGGGAATAAATGAAATCTGAGCCAAAAGTTGCGTGAATAGGTTGAATGCTTCAGGCACGCAAAGTCCCAACCAAATTCCCAGCCAACATTTGACACGGAATTCAAAAACCGAGCCAACACGTTTGGCTCGAGCTAGGTGGCACGTATCTCAGAACCGTGCCAAATCAGTGCCAAGACCGTTCGTCTGGGAAAATTGTGAAGGGTTCCCTGCCTATATCCGTGCCTATACCGAGTTTTTTGGTAGTATGCTCCAAAATTGTGAAATCCCCCCTACACTGATCGGAAGTGCGGTCTTCGATAAGGCAAGGTAGACGGCGGCAACATTGGAATTTCGGCCCCTAGAGCCCTACATTAACCTAGGTTCTTTTTTAGTTGCAATAATGATGAATGTTGTACTATTGGCATAGAATGTTTTTACTCGGACAAACCAGACTTAAACAGATTAGAGCAGACCAGACCAGACTTTCGTAGTTATAAAATACATAGAGACCAGACATTTACCAGACCAGCAAATTACAATCCATGTAAAAACATTCATACTCCATTTTGGCTCAGAACCGGCTTTGGCACCTCAGCATATAGGCAAATGCCTAGGGCATCACTATTGGAGGGGGTCCCACTTAAAAAAATAGTATTTTTAAAATTTTGTGTCATGCCGCAGTTTTGTTTATATCATAAAAGGGCGACTTTTATATTAAAAACGAGAACACATACAAGAAAACTTTCAAACAGATATTACAGATCCAATCGTGTATCCAGGAGTAGACTTAGAGTCTGCACCTCATACAAAGCAACCTGACTCGCTAAACATGAAATGAGCAAATTTAAGCCTAAAACGACCCGAACAGAAACCCTGCCTATCAAAAGAACTTCAACTGGAAATAAAAACACAATCAAAACAACATGCAGTTCGAAATAAAAACACAAACAAAATAAAACGGAATTAAAACATAGTTCACTCATTTTCTTCCAAATCTAGATTCTCTTCCTCACCAGTGATTCAGGAGGGGCATGAGCCAGTAGTAATGTAGCTTCTTCCTCACCATGCCTCTTATTCATCATGTCCTCTGCTTAGCTTCCACTTTCACCACCAATCACAAATGATCTCTTCCAACCTTTAACCCCAATCTTTGCCCATTACCATTCATCCTCTCCCTATTGCTGCCTCTGCTTCTTGTTCGCACCAAAAAATTCGTCACAAGGGAAAACCCCAAATCGAAGAGCCATCCAATCGAAATAGATCGGCGGAGAAGCTAAACCCTAACTAGAGGGAGAAACAACCGCTTACGAAGTTTTCTTTATCATGCCGTAGTTATAAATTCACGACTTTTTTGAAGTTTTATTTAAGATTTAATCTAATAAAAAACCTACGGAGTAGTATATTATTAATAACGAGCTACCAGCTAAAATAGAAGTGTAGTATTGTCTACTAACTCATCACCATTGGTCCTTAGAAGAGAACGAATGAAGTATACCATTATTAACACCTTGCAAAACATATAACATTATTTTAACTTTTTCAATAAAGCCTGAAATCAAGTGACCATATTGATGAATTGATGAACGTTTGTCGACATAAGTTATTAGGGCAATGATGATTAAGAATCTTTGGCAATCTTTGTTCCAAAAGGTGGAATCTCCCACCCCAGGAGCCCCCTCACCCCGATCCGACAGGATGGTGAGAAAGTTAGTCACGGTGACTCAGTCAGCAGAATGGCAGTAGGCTCATACACCCGTGCGCATCAGAGGCTCAGCCTTATTTCAGGTTCTGTGACCTCCACCCGATCGCTGTGGGGATTCGAACCTTGGTCCATTGTTCCAAATCTCCCGCCACTCGACCAACTGAGCTACCCGTACGGGTAGAATCTTTGGCAATCTTAATTACTTATACAAATCACATGCATTATCTGTGTAAGTTTTCACCAAATTTTATTTTTCAATTTTCGTGCTTTGTGTGGTTCGGTTTTCAATTTTCAATTTTATTATATCTATCTTTCTTTTCCATACAAGATTGGAAGGTAGATTACTATCAATCAAGATTCAAGAATATGAGTGCTTCGGTATAACATACTAAATATTTTCTCATATGTTTCTCATACCCAAACTTTGGGTGTGGAAAAATTACGTACATTTACCTTATCGAGATGTTGGTATATCATATTTCGGTATACCAAAATTTAGTTTCGGTAAAAGTATGATATTGATAAACTACCGTGCATAATCTCAACACACTGAGTTATCATATAGATGAATGGAATATACAAAATAAATGTTAATGGGAAATGTCTTTTAACAGGAAACAAGAACTGAATCATCAATAAAGGTTACAGCCGAATCGTTAAGATCTTGTAATCCAATAATAAAAATCAGTTTTTAAACCAAATCGGCTCATAATGATCCCATTTTAAATAAATCAATTTTCCAATTCTCGATTCTAAAATTAGAAATTGCTCTAAATAGTAGCAAAAACGTTTTAAAATTCCAAAATATGATTATCATGTTTTTTATTCCCTAAATAGGAGTAATCTGTCAAGTTTGGAAAAAATGTCATGGTTTAAAGCCTAGTAATGCCAAACTTGGCAGAAATTTACTCTTATTCTAGGAATAAAAAACATGATACTCCTATTTTGTAATTTCAAAACTTTTTTACTCCTATTTAAGAAATTTTCTTTTATAAAATCTAGCCCTGACAATCTTAAATCCCTTGAGCAGAGTTGAATGTAAGTGGGATTCACACTCAGTACTTCACCATGTCAATATCAGCTTCTCGGCAAAATGATACTCCCTCCGTTCCTGTTTTATCTCCCATTTCGGCAGGGCACACTTATTAAGATAATGAGTTTTGTGTGATGGAGAGTTGTGCAGAGGAGAGAGAAATGTGTAAGAATGTGTAAGAATGATTGTGAACCACAAATTCTTTGCCAAAAAGGGAAGGAGGAGATAATTTTGGGACGGACGAAAAAGGAAAGTTTGAAGATAATTCAGGGACGGAGGGAGTATTGAAAAAAAATGCGGGTTTAATGCACCAAACCCCCGTGATATAGAAATTCGGCGCATTAGTCCCCTGTGATTTAAAACTAACGTCAAACTCTCTTGTATTTTAATTAATTATGCGCAAAATCCCTTCTATGAACAAATTTAATTGTCAAATATAAGAAAAATGATTAACATATTTGTATGATTTAGAGATTTTGACATATTTACTTGCATATTCAATCAGAATATTAGAAAAAGTGATCTCAAAATCATTAAATTTAGTCATAAAAGGGGTTCTGTGCATGATTAATTAAAACACAGGGGGATTTGACGCATTTTTCAAATCACAGAGGGCTAATGCGCTGGATTTATATATCACGAGGGGTTTGGTGCATTAAACCCAAAAAAATGCTTGTGAATAAGTAAAAGTTGGTATTGTTTGGTAAAATGAGTATTTTAATTTTGTATAATAGAAAAAAATGAAAAGCAATTTAAAGCACCTCTTCATTTGCTTCTAACTTTTAGCTTTTATGTGTTTAATTTATACAGAATCTGTCACTTGAAAATACTAATTTCAGCATTTTAAAACCAAAAGGCGAAAAACGCTTTTTTATTTTTTTACAAACACTCCCTCAATCAGGGGCAGAGACAGTGGAGGGCCAGTCTTGACCCTGGCCCTGGCCCAGTCCAATTTTAAAAATGTCTTAATTTTTAGTGTAAAAAAATTCGGTCAAAAAATTTTCCAAAAAAATTCTTTGTATTGACCCGATCTGGTCCAGTGTCCTGGCTCCGCCCCGGCCCTCAATTCTTCCCATGCAAAATCTCTCTCGTTCAAGGGAGAGTGGTGTGACCGTGTGAGATCAATAACAATTTCTAGTCATATGTGTTTCTTTTATTCTAAATAAGTGTCTTATTTTACTTGAGTTAAATAGTTCATATGTAGTTGGGATAAACGTCACTTCAAATGAGAATTAGAATTATAAACTTCACGTTGCTAATGTGTGAATAATACATTGTTTAAAAATATATATAAATAATATTACGCAGCAAAGCTTACTCATTTCTAATCTAGGTGAAACTGATTTTTCAGAAATTACAACTTTTAATGTTCAATGAATTAGGGAAGAGATGATATCAATATTAGATGATCAAACTTTCAACTTTCAAGGGTCAGTTGACCTCCCCCCGTCCTCTTGGCCCCGCCCTTAGGTGGACGTATTAATAAAAAAAGGATGACACCTCATCCTTGAGAGCCCCCAACTTCGACCGGACGGTACGTTGGAAGGATGTAAGTTGGACTATAATCACAATCTGACAGATAGAGAGTGAGACTCTGTCCCCGGTACTTGTAGAGGCCATATACTTTTTTAGCATAGTAACTCTTCATCGCAGTTGCCGTGATTCGAACCCGTGACCTAACTCTTGTGGCACTCCCTTGTTAGTTGAGCTACACCCACCGGTTTGGGTGGACATATTAATATTATAGAATTATATTATACTCCGTAGAATTATTGCTTTTTACATATAAGTCTACATTATTACCTATCACATTTTTTATTTAAACTATTTTGCCTTAGCCCTATGTTTGTAGGGAAATAGTTAGGCCAAGGCAAATTATACGGTACACCCGATTGTATCATGTACTCCCTCCGTCCCAATAGAAGGTTCCCGTCCACTATTCTCATGGTCAACTTAAATCATTTTTAATCTTTTACTTTATAAATCAATTTTTTACCAAATAAGCATTTTTTTATCAGGTTTTGTAACGGTTTTAATGTAGTTTCTGAATATGTTAATTTTATTTACTAAAAATAATCAGTGTGTGAACAGGGATTAAGTTGCTTTATCGTCAGTCAAGCATCGTAAACCGTTCACGGGAACCTTCTAGTGGGACGGAGGGAGTATAAGACTGCACAAGAATAACACAAACCCGCATAATCCGACCGACCCAACCCTATGCGGCTGTTTTTAATCACGTGTTTGATTTAAAAAATATTCATAGGTTAAATATGTATGAACCCACACCTAATAATGAGTAGGGTTGTAGAATTAAAATCTGAAACCCGATAGTAGCCAACCCGTCCGAAAGTCCATTTTACTATTATTATGCTACAATGTTTTATTGGATACTTTCTATTTTAGACCGATGTACTGTATCTAAAACTTCATTATATTAAATTATAAACATTTACCATTTTGGCTAGGTGGTTATTATATATTTACTTTTGCTTTTAAATGAATTGCTTTTATGCAAGGATGTTTTGATACTATTGGCTAAGATTATGCTTATAAAAGGTGCATGCTTGTATTTGTTTGTGTATTTTGAAAATAAATTAACCAAATTTCAAATTTACTGCATTAGTTGCCCACATTGAAGATCCAACCCGAAAATGATTTTTTTTCAATACCCGTCTACTCAACTCGTTCATGTATGGTTTACCAACTTATATCGCATACTGCCTGTTGATGAACAACCGGGTAAATTTGTAATTCTTAACCGGGTTAATTGTGATATATGCCTTTAACTTCCCTATTTTCTCTCTCGTTGAGTATTCATGACGCGGACATGTAGAGTGCACATGTCTCTTCCATTTTTTTATATTCAATCATTTTCAATTTCTTCTCAAATTTACTGAATTGAATTTTTAAAACATTAAAGGGAATGATAATTAGACTGAAACATCTTTATCTCTTTATTTCACTAATACCGATATACTATTTTCCTTAAAATAATCTTCTAAATAGGGATGCCCACAAACTGTTCATAAAATTTCTAGTCAATTGTCGTTCATTTTTTTAGCAAATTTTAATTATTCCTTGTTGCACTTAAATTTTAGTTAATTATTCCTTGTATCATTTATTTTGCATGAATGGCATGATACATAATGGTTCTTTGCTTTGAATTGATTTAAATAAATATTTTATAACTTCCAAAGCTAGTACAAAATGAGCTTTAGGTCATATTCATCAAATGAGTATATTATTCACAAGGAAGTTAAATGCATATATCACAATTAGATTGAAACTTACACAAATGAATATAATAAATCTATTACATTTGCATATTATAGAAACGAATTTTATGTTAAACTCAAATGAGTATGTGCCTAAAAGGAATGATCGAACTTATACAAATGAATATTGAACACATTAGAAATGAGTTTAATGTTAAATTCAAATGACTACAACGCCTAAAGGAATGAACGCACACAAATGAGTTTTTGAATTTTTCGATACTCATTTTGTATGTTATGTGTTCTCATTTGGTACTCGTGTTATGCTCATTTCAAAATGATATACGGAGTATCAATGCATATTTCAAAATATCATACGGAGTATTACATTAGATTCACACATGATTATAGACACAAAACACAAATCATGATATTCAATTGCAAGATTGGTGGTTCTAATACTCAATAGATGAGTTTTTATGTTTGATGAAATTGTATAGATGCTCAACTAACAAAATTTACTATTTTCATAACAATGTTCATTTTGTAAGTTACGTATTTTTATTTGATACTGATATTATGCTCATTTTAAAAAATGTAATATCAATGCATATTTTAAAAGTACCACATTACATTAGATTCATATATTGAAATTCATAAAAGTTAATTATGGATATAATTTAATAAATTTTCATAAAATAAAAAATAAAAAAAGAAAGTGAATTAGAAGAAACAGAGACCCCTGAATATTAAACATCTAATACTCAACAAAATAAATCTAATTGTCACTAAAATTATATCAATACTCATTTAATGGAAGTCACAATTTTCAAATTAATTACGAAAATGTGATCAAGTATACAATAGTCGTGATGGGGACTCTTACACTAATGTCAATAAGTACACATCATCATCTTTCAAAAAATATTATCCTAAATATAGAAAATCTTTAACATAACATTTTACGGGAAAACATGAACCTGGTTGACTTCTCCGTTCTCTCACCGGTTAAAAAGCAAGGACAAAGACTATCAAGCGGGTCTTGGGCAATTTGTGACAATTTCTTTTGCTTTCTGTAGAATTCAAATTTATTCGCAACTACTTTCTTCTCCCATTGTTGGATTAATAAAAAGCAAGGACAAAGACTACCACCGGTTTGTTCTTAATAGCTACAATTGGATTGAGCATTTTCAGTTATAGAATCATCAAAATATATTTTTCCCAGTGTTTGTGCCAGAAGAAAGGATGAACACGTGTTTTTTATAACTGAAACGGACGAGAAGCTCCATCTCCCTAGTGCTTTGACTTGTACTGAGTGGTTTATGTGTTTCGTTCCATGGTGTGTAGAAGCGCAAATCTGGTATGTTCAGCTGCCTTCTGATGTCGACATTTTTTTTTTGTTTATATGCGTTCAAAATTCAAACAACTTATTCACTTTCTATATACATTTTTGACGTTGTCTTCTTCATTTCTTTTAGGGTGTTTCAATTACTGATTGACACTTGATTCTAGAAGTCTGTGAGTTCATCTAACTCACACTATTTTACCTCTAAGAATCTAAGGATATTGATTATCCATGGCTACCTCTATTGGCTCTATGACCGAAAGATCTTACAGAATCTGAGTATCTGATAGCTAAACTTTATTTGATTCTTTCATCAACTGTGTATGAAAATCCCATTTTGTTGCTGATTCAAATCCACTATATCTTTGAGGATGCATTTCCATGTTTTTGCTTCAGATGTAAACAATGTGTTTCTCAGAACTAGGGTTTTCGGCATCAACTTGTTTAGTTGATAGGGAAATTGATGAGTTGGATAAAGTAGATTGTTCTTCTTATGTGTTTATTCAATTTACTTGTTAAGTCGATTGCTATGATATTCAATTTACTGGTCATAATTTATTGGTTAGAAGTTTATTGAGTTTATCTTATGTTTGGTTGCCTTAACTTGGAAGTTATAAATACCACCCTTCATGTTTTTTTGTTAAGGAAAGATGCTTCTTTGATCTGGCATTATTTTGGTTGCTAGCTGAAAGAGGAAATTATCATTTCTTTATTTCATGTCCTCCTGGCCCTCCGAAAAAGACGATCTTTCTTCATTCATTTTTTGCCAATTCTATTTTTGCACAGTATCAAAGCTGTTACTGTAATTTTTTTTTCCAATATCTTCTTATTTTCATAGTTGGATCTTGCAAAAAGCAAAACATACACATCTTGCATTCCTGAGTGAATTTATGCGATGTCTATTGCTTACCGATTTCAAAATAGTACCCGTCTTCCCAATATTAACTCCTGATTTGACTTTGCGTGGTTTTTAATAAAAAGTGGAAACTTTGTGTTCGATATTTGTTTAGAAGCGAGAAAAACAGTATTAACCACAAAATCATTTCTTTAAAAGGAAAGGGAGATAATTTTTAGACGGACGGAAATGTTAAAAATGAAGTTTTATTTTGTGACAAGAGTTCTACTCCGTATATGCTAGTGCTAAATTTATTTTAAAGACATCAAACACTAGAACTCAATTTCCGAGTGTGCTGCTCTATGACATGAGAACTGAGGTCATGTATGCTTATCAAGATCCCAACCATTTGAATGTGCTGTGTTTTGACATTATTAGCATTGAACAGTATTATATTGAATAAGATAGTAACCTTTTTTATTTCGTTTCTGGATTTCAAGGGAATGACATTAAAGCCAAATAAAGTGTGGAAGTCTATTAAGACCTTCCATTCAAATGAAAAATCGGAAGCCCCCTTTTGCGTATTCCCCAAACCAATGTCGGATGTTTATGGTCCTGGTGATACACTGGTTTATCTTAATGTGTATGATTTGACCCACATGAATGGCTATATCTACTGGGCTGGATTTGGTGTCTTTCATTCTGGTGTGGAAGGTAACTGTCCACCTATAGTTATTTTGATCTGCTCATCATTATTACCAATAGCAGAGAGGATTTTGTAGAAAGGGATGGGAAAAGAGAGGATTTTGTTTTTTTGGTTAGGAGATAAATTGAGTGGGGAAACAGGCTTGTGGACCATCCTACTTTTTATTTCTCTCCAATATTGGGAAGAATGAACTTAAATTCTCTATTTTACCTATGATTTCCAACTGTGCCCATCCCATTAGTATATACTACGTAGTATAACTTTTGAAGTACAGTCATGTTTGTATTTTAAAAAACAACACACATTTCTTTTCAATCTCCCTCTTTTATTTTTCTCAAACGAAACGTATCAAATAAATGTCTATTCCACCCGGTTCATAGTAACTGTGATTTTTGGAGGAAGTTAGGCAAATTGATGAATCATTGAATGTACTTTTTTTGACAAAATACCCATTTCGACTACTTCTGCTACGATTGATGAATAGGGAGTATGTTGGACTACTACAAAAGTACAAAGAGTCCAAAAAAGGTTGCATATTGAAAAATAGCATTAAATGCTTTCTTGTTTTTACAATTTATAAAAAAACACTTAATGCAACAAAAAAACTCCTCCAATGTGACACTTGCTGTCAGCCCAGAAGGGTACTCTTTTTCTCACTCTTTTCTTTCCTATGACACCCTTCCCCTATAAACATTACTCTGTAGTATGTTGATTGATGGCTAACCATTGTTGTCCATGGCAGTTCATGGTGTAGAATATGCATTCGGAGCTCATGATTTTCCAACAAGTGGTATATTTGAAGTTGAACCAGGTCAGTGCTCGGGCTTCAAGTTTAGGAAGTCGGTGAATGTGGGGACCACAAGGTTGGATCCTAGTGAGGTCAGGGAGTTTTTTCAGCGCCAAGCTGCTATCTACACTGGCGAATCGTATCATTTGATCACGAAAAATTGCAACCATTTCTGCGAGGACATATGCTACAAGCTCACGGGGAAGAAAATCCCTAAATGGGTTAACCGTCTTGCAAAATTAGGTACCCTCTTTCTTTCTGTTCTTTTGTTTTAATAGGTTGACCCAATATGCAACCTTTGAAATAGGAGAGCAGTCACTTAGAATAAGCACTAAGGGGATACCATATAACTATTTCATTGTGTGTAGCAATGGTATATTAGTTCCTTTTCGATGTTTAAAAAAAGTAATGGTATATTAGTCACTGTCCATTTATCCTAAAAAAATTAGTCTTCTTTGGTTAAAGTACATCTTTTTATATTTGGTGATGTACAACTCTTAAAAGACATGGAAACCTATCTGTGGGTATTTTTCATATTACCATACATCTTTTAATTACCTTTAGCAACATTTTTCATATTGTACTTGTGGGTAAGTTTTCTTGGCATTTTAAGATAATATTCCACTTTGGTCGGACATCTATCAGGACATTTTCACTCATGGTCCCTTGAATATAGATTTTTATGATTTATGGTCCTTTGACCACTTATCTGATATACTTCCGTATAATTTCCAGTACCTGATGAGGGAATGGAAAAGATTCAAAGTGACAAATAATCATAGTTATACACTAGAACTGGGAACATGGATGTTGTGGATAAAAATGAGAATGATTTACTGATTACAGGGAAAAAATCTATTTTTTCTTATTACTATAAAATACTCTGTATATTAACATTGTGTGTGTCATATAAATGTGTGATTGTTTGTATAGGTTCAACGTTCAACTTCATTTTACCCGAAAGCCTTAAAATTGCTGCGGTGAACCATGACCCAAGTGAATGTGATAGTGATATCGAAACGCCGAAACGTGATTATTGCCACATCCCTCGCATTCCAAATAGGCAGAAGGGGTTTTCAGTGCCTTCGTTATTCCTACTAGCACCATTGAAAGGCTGCTTAGCGTCATTAAATTTGAGCAAGACTAACAATCTTTCCCTAAAGGAAAGATGATTAAGCAAACCCCCGTTTTGGATAGCTTATACTCTTTTTGACATTACACCGCTGCAAAACAAAATCAAAGCGATACCTGCTTTAATGTAACAACACATTACTTTGTTTCTGAGTTTTGTGGGGATGTTTGGCATTTCAAGACTAGGAAAGCGATCCTCAATTATTGGTTTCTTCATTTACACTATGTAACACATGTGTAACACATACATGTACAAACTAATTACACCTCCAACCAGTTCAATATACACATTAGCTTGTATTTACATTTTCCTAGTGTGCGTGTTGTGCACATGCCTTATCGCGTGGCATGGTGCAGCCCAACATTATTCGATGAACCAATATCTTAATATTGTACCACTGCCCTATTTCTATTATACTGCCATAGACTCATAACATACAATGAGTCAATGATCAAGTGATCCCTATTTAGAGTTTGGTCCTAAAAGGCTTCAACTAGTAGACTAGTAGTTGATTAATTCCCTCAGGAGTAAGGACATATGAACATATGAGGAATACCTCCTATTATATTGGGATAAAAGGACAATATTCTTGATAATTGGTGTATAATTAAAAGTAGTGTTGTTGTTATTATTGTTCTTGTTATTATTATTTAACTAGATAGAGGTTACTGTACAATTGCTACGGAATCAATAAAATTACCACAAAAATGATCAAACAAAAATTTCAAAAAACTACTACTTCCTATGTCACTTAAAACTTGGCTAACGTTTCTTTTTTAGATGGCCCACTAACTTTGTCACTTTCTCTTTTAAGTAAAGATTTGTGGTTCTAGTTAATTCTTTCTCCTTTGCACCAACCTTAACTACATAGTTTTTACTTTATTAATTCTCATTCTGGCCAAACATGGCAAAATTTTAAGGGATGGAGGGAGTATTTATAGTTTTACTTTGAATTGACGAATATAATGCAATTATCATATAATTACAACAAAATGATTATACATTACAACATAATTTGTTAGAGATGCTTCTGTAAATAATAAACCTGATAAGTACTTTGGGAGAGTTTATTCTAGAAAGGGAAAGAATAATAAGAATAACAGTTAGTGAGCTGGCACTTTCTGTAATTAGCTATTTGTCGGTTATTAGCTATTATAGTATAAATAACTAGTTTGTGAAGTAGTTGGGCAGGCTGTTAGACAGTTATATCTAGGACTGTGAGATTGAGACTCATCATTTCTTTCTTGGGGCTTCGTTGTATTGGTTTCCACCATTAATGAAGTTGGAGTTGTTTTCTTGAATATTTTTCATCTTTCTATGTTAATATCACATACCTGCGAGTGAGTACTATAACATTGATATCAGAGCGCGTCGATCGCTGTGGATGACCGTTACACGTGCAAGGATGGAAGGAAGATTGAATGAACTGGAATGAAGTCAGCAACAAGCCTCGGAGACCATGGAAGCGGCTTTAGCTGCCATCCAAGCGAGCATTGCGAACCTTGAAAATAGAATCCTGAGTCGATCGCGAAGCAGATTGCATGCGTCACACTCATCGCATCGCCATTCTCATCAACGGCACACACGACAGTCAGCTAATTCAGAGGGATCAGAAGGTAATTCTGACTACCCCTCCCCCCGTCGCCATAACCGAAATCATCACAGGGAGCACAGAAACCATCATCGAATGGGAAGGAAAGTGGACTTACCACTATTCAATGGTGATGATGCTTTCGGTTGGCTAGTTCGAATAAATCCTTATTTCAGACTCAATCAGGTAGAGGAGGAAGACAAAATAGAAGTAGTTGTGGTAGCTATTGAGGATAGAGCGCTCAGTTGGTTCCAATGATGGGAAAACCAAGCGCGTGAGAAGAATCGGGAATCACTAAATAAAGCACCGACTCTTCGTTTCCAACCTAAATTAGTCCAAAATCCCCTGGGTCCTTTGTTGAGTCTGAAACAGAAAGGAACTGTTAAGGAGTTCAGAGAACAGTTTGAGGTGGCTATTGCTCCTCAAGGAAACCTGGACCGGGAAGTACTTAAGGGCGTCTTCCTCAATGGATTGAAGAGAGATATAAGGGCTGAATTGAAACTCTATAATGCAAGAAACTTGGCTGAAATTATGGATAAGGCACTACTCATTGAAAATAAGAATGATGAAGTTCTGACCAGAAGGAATAAAGAAGAAGGAAAAAGAATCTGGAAAAACAAGATGGCAGGAGGAAGTAGTTACCTGAAATGGGGAGATGGAAGTAAAGGAAACAGTAACCTAATCACTACTAACCATTCTGAAAGGAGTTCAGTTGATAACAAGAATGGTGAAGGATTGACAACCTCAAACCCAAAGAAGATGGGCCCCAGATTGTCCCAAGGAGAATTGCAGGAAAGATGTAGGAAGGGGCTATGTTTTAAATGTGGAGATAACTCGAATAGAGGGCATATTTGCAGAATGAGAAATTTCAAAATGGTTTTGATGGAAGATTCTGAAGGAGATGCAAAATCTGATGCAGATTTCAGTGACTCAGATGAGGAAGAAACAAATCATATGGAGTCAAAATCTATGCAATTATCTTTGTTGAATAGAGAAGGGATACCTTGTAACGCCCGTACTTTTTATCGACTTCTTATGTGTTGATTAATTATATATGATCATGTTTTGATTTATGGTTGAGTGATATACGTGTGAAGTGTAGGGATATCATGTGATTATGAACTTTGTGATAGTGATATTTGAACTTACATGCTTGTATTATGTTTGAATGTGACAGGCGACGGTATCCGATGAGCAACGAAACTACACCATAATAATCATTCGTATTTTTGAATGTAATGGTATATCAAGTTATTTGTCATGTTAGATCGTATTCGGGTGTTTAAAATGTCATCAGGGGTCTAGGATGGGATCGGCAACAATCAGAGTCGGTTTAGGGCGAAAAATGACGTTTTCGGCACCGAGGGAACCCTGGACCGGCGCCGGTCCAAAACAGAACCTTGTGGCGGTTGAAAGACAGGGCAACTGGCACCGGTTGGGCCCTAACCGGCGCCGGTCGAGTCAGTTTTGGCAGTCGGTGGAAAAACAAATATTTAACGAAAAACAAAGCTTTTCACCCCAAAATCGACTTCTGCTCGTCCCCCTCTCTTCAAATTGGTCCCAAATCTTCCTCAAAGTGATTCAAGATCAAATTAAATGTGTTTCTTCATCAAGGATCATTAAATACATAGGGGTTTCTTTATATTATAGTAATTAATTAGTTGTTGATGATTCTTGATTCATGAAACTCCATCGATTTTCAGTTATCTAGCTACCCCGAAGTTATGCCCGATTTGTTGTAGGAATTTGGGAGTTTTCTCACTAGTAGGGGATGATTTGTAAACTTTCCCCTCATATTTAAGTCTAAGGATTTTTCTAAAGACATGAATTTAAGTTTGATCAAGCGTAAAATTTTGTATTTATAATATAGTTGCTCATCGAAGAATCGTTGCTCGTGGACGTCGTACACGCACATACAAGGATAAATACTCCGCATGAACCAGGTAAGTCACCACCACCTATACATGATAGTTCTAAATAAAGTATGGAAGTCTAGCTAATGATGAATTGATACACTTGCTTGAATACTTGAAATTGTATGACATGAGATTATGTGAACTCCAAGTTGTATGTGTATGGACGGATGGTCTTAATTGTGGAGCCATTTATTTATGTGATGTAAAGTGTTCAAAATATATGTTTAAGGCTGTGCTCATGTGGAATGAAAATGAAAAGAAAGTTATGATGGTAATGAAAACTATTGAATGATTAAATGTAAGATATTCATGTTCTATGTTTGATTTTGGTTAGGGTTCATATAGAACCAACGATGAAATGAAGATATGAGGATAATGATATACAAGGAATGATAAGTAATGTTTTAAGGTAGCCGTGCCCCCAAGTAACTATCTGAGCTGAACGTAGCGGGACAGCCTTCCGCGGGGAGTCCCGGGGTTACTTCTGATGGGCTGCGGGCTAGCTACCCGAGCTCATCAGCGAGGGGCCAGGACACGAGCTACGGGCCCATAAACTCAAGGAGCAAGATGAGATGATCTAATGATGAGAACAACTTAATGTCCTCATTGATAGTGGTGCTACCCACAGTTTCATAGCTCAAGAGTTGGTGAACAAATGGCAGATTCCTTTCACCACTATTAAAGGATATATACCAAATTGGTTGCGAAGAATATATCCCTAAAAGTGATAAGTGTGAAGGAATGAAGTTAAGGGTGCAAGAAGTAGTGATACTATATTCTGGAGCTAGGGGACAAATATGGTACTAGGAATGGACTGGCTAACTGGTTTAGAGGATATGGAGGTGAACTTTCAAAACCAAACTATTAAATGGAAGGGGCGGGAGCAGAATTATATTATACAAGGAGATGCTTCCTTGAATAATATGGAAGTTTCATTGAAAACTATGACACACATTTTATAACAACCAGGAGATGGATATTTGTTGTATTGTGGAGGTCAAGAAACTGAGCAAAACCCAAGCAAGGTACAAAATGATGCTTGGGAGAAAATTGTGAAAGAATTTCCTGAAGTTTTCAAATCTCAACTGGATCCATCACCTGTCAGATCTTGTGATCATGCCATTAATATCATGGAAGGAGCCTGCATCCCTAATATTAGACCTTACAGTATTCTTATATATGACCAGAAAATTGAGATTGAGAAAATCATACAAGAAATGCTCAGTTCAGGAATAATAAAACACAACAATAGTTCCTATAGCCAAGAAAAAAGATGGTGACTGGAGGTTTTGTGGAGACTACAGAGCTTTAAATAAAATAACAACCTCTGACAAGTTTCTCATCCCAGTTATTAAAGAACTTTTGGACGAATTAGGAGGATCTAAATTGTTTTCTAAGATGGACTTAAAATCTGATTATCACCAGATTAGAATGAAGGAGAGTGATACTCATAAGACTGCCTTTAGAACTCCCTCAACCTTTCAAGCCTTGATGAATGAAGTTCTGAGACCTTTTTAAAGGAAATTTTCCTTAGTGTTCTTTGATAATATATTGATTTATAGTAAATCTAAAGAAGAGCACATGGAGCATTTGAGGAAAGTATTACAAGTATTGAAGTAAAATCAGTTAGTAGCCAATTTGAAGAAGTGTTCTTTTGGGCAGAATCAACTAACTTACTTGGGCCACGTCATTTCTGAAAATGGAGTATCAGTCTATCCTAACAAGATAGAGGCAATGGTGAAATGGGCTGAACCTAAAGATCTGAAAGGTCTGAGAGGATTATTGGGTCTCACTGGGTATTATAGAAGGTTTGTAAGAGGATACAGTGGTATAACAACCCCTCTTACACAACTTTTGAAGAAAGACAGTTTCCATTGGGATCATAAGGCCAGTAAAGCATTTGAGATGCTCAAGAAGGCAATGACTACCTTACGAGTGCTAATCAATCCAGATTTTAATAAGATGTTTATTCTGGAAATTGATGCTTCTGGAAAGGGATTGGGGGTTGTTTTAATGCAAGATGGGAGACCAATAGCTTATATGAGCAAGGAATTGTCAGTTAAGAATCAAAAGAAATCGGTATATGAGAAGGAACTTGTGGCTATTGTGTTGGCCATTCAAAAATGGAGACCATATATATTAGGGAGGAGATTTGAAGTTCATATTGACAAGAGGAGTCTGAAATACCTCACTAAACAAAAGATTATGGGGGAAGAACAGCAAAAATGGATAGCAAAGCTACTGAGGTACAACTTTACAATCAAATACAAACCCGGGATTGAGAATAAAGCTGCAGATGCCCTCTCAAGAAATCCCGAATTTCAATCATTGTCTATAGTAACCTGTCAAGAATGGGAAGGACTGAAGGAGGAATTGGAAAGGGATTCCAAAATTGGTGAGGTAATTCAGAAGGTTCTAATGCAGCCAGACAAGTTTCCTGATTATAAGGTCAGGAAGGGATTATTATATTTCAAGGGAAGGTTGATGTTACCAAAAAGGTCCAAAAGGATTGATACAATCCTTAAGGAGTACCATGACTCATCTATTGGAGGACATTCTGGCAATTTCAGAACAATGAAGAGGATATCCAATATGTTCTATTGGTCAGGGATGAGATCAGACATCAAGAAATATGTTCAAGGATGTGTTGTATGCCAGAGGAATAAGTATCAAACCCTTAAATTTGATGGATTATTACAGCCATTACCAATTCCCAGTCAGATTTGGGCTGATATGAGTATGGATTTTATTAGACGATTACCCAAATCCCAGGGTAAGGACACTATTCTGGTGGTTGTGGACAGATTGACCAAGTTTGCCCATTCCCTATCATTAGCTCATCCTTTTAATGCTAAGGGGATGGCAGAAGTATTCATTCAGGAGGTAGTAAAACTACATGGGTTCCCCAAATCGATTGTAAGTGACAGGGACAGTTTATTCTTAAGCTCCTTTTGGTATGAATTATTCAAGTTACGAGGAACACAACTGAAATACAGTATGGCTTATCACGCACAGAGTGATGGATAGACTGAAGTTGTTAATAGGTGTTTAGAAACCTACCTCAGGTGCATTACTGGAAGGAAGCCTAAACAATGGGTGAAGTGGCTACCATGGGCTGAATTCTGATATAACACAAACTACCATATATCCTTGAAGAATACACCGTTTCAAGCATTGTATGGACAGGAGCCTCCTCCTATTAGAAAAGGGAATGTCAGTTTGACTGCTGTTACAGAAGTTTCAAGACCAACAACTAAAAGAAATGAAATGCTAAAGAAGTTGAAGGATAATTTGGCCACTGCCCAGAATCAGATAAAACAACAAACCATCAAACACAGGAGGGAAGTGACATTGGAAGTAGGAGACAAGGTTTTTCTGAAGTTACAGTCGTACAAAATGAAAAGCCTAGCCAAGAGAGTGAATCAGAAGATGAGTCCCTCCCAGATTTTATGGTCCTTATGAGATTATAGAAAGGATAAATCATGTGGCTTTTAAGCTCAAATTGCCAGAGGACAGTAAAATACATCTTATATTTCACATATCCGTACTTAAAAAAGTGTTGACTCCTACTACTTTTTACCAAGATCTCCCTAAATGCCTTGATGAGGAGTAGGAACTGCATGTGCTCCCAGAGGAAGTGAAGGATACGAGAATCAATAATGAAGGAAAAAGGGAAGTGTCGATTCATTGAAAGAATCTCCCTGATTTTGAAGATTCATGGGAAACTGTCCAAGTAATCCAAGAACAATTTCCATAATTCCACCTTGGGGACAAGGTGGATTTTCAGCGCGGAGTATTGTTAGAGGTACTTCTGTAAATAATAAAGTTGATAAGTACTTTGGGAGAGTTTATTTTGGAAAGGGAAAGAATAATAAGAATAACAAATAATGAGCTCACACTTTCTGTAATTAGATATCTGTCGGTTATTAGCTATGATAGTATAAATAACTAGTCTGTGAAATAGTTGGGCAGGCTGTTAGACAGTTGTATTTGGGATTGGGAGATTAAGACTCATCATCTCTTTCTTGGGGCTTTGTTGTATTGGTTTCCACCATTAATGAAGTTGGAGGTATTTTCTTGATTATTTTTCATCTTTCTCTGTTAATATCACATACCTGAGAGTACTCTAACATAATTACCATATTATATTTTGAGAACGCAAATTTAACACTTAGAATATTTTTTCTTGAACTGTTTTAGTCCCATACCAGATTAGACCAGACCAGACCAGACTATATCAGACTTAAACAGACTAGACCACACCAAACTAGACAAGACCAGACTTAAACCAATCAAACCAGACCAGACTTGACTTCCATATTTATAAAATACGTAGAGGTCGACGTTTACCAGACCAGACTAGACCAGACTTAAACATACCAAACCAGATCAGACTTAATCAGACAAGATCATACTAGCAAATTACAATCCAAGTAAAAACATAAAAAACATAAAATAATGGTCAAATAATCGTATGTAGATGCTTATCGTGAAAAAAACTTCCATAATCTAGTTGTTCAAACAGTTGGTACTACAACTGTTGAACAATTTGTAATAGGAATTTACGTCCAATTGTCCAAATCTTTGTGAGTAGTTGATTGCAATTTTGGATAAAGAATGTAGGGATGCATACGTAGGGATTTATTAGATAGAAAATGTATTGTCATATGTTAGCATCATATATATAGTAATATTTTTCGATCATGATAGTATTATACTCTGTAAATATTAAGAGAGAAATATGGTACTCCTATTTAAGAATGTCACATTATTTTTACCTTCATCTAGGATATTTTTTTAAAGAAATTGCTTCAAACAAAATGCACGAAAGAGATTGAACTATATTTTATTTCTAAAATAGAACACATTTGATTCTATTAAAAGTATAAGATTTTTCAAAAGGGAAAATTCCCGAAATAGGACTAAAACAGTTTCAAAAATCCAAAATAGGGTTGTCATGTTTTTTATTCTCAAAATAGGACTAATTACTGTCATGTTTAGAAAATACTGCAGTCCTATTTTGGAATTTTCAAACTGTTTTAGTCCTATTTCGAGTAATATCTCTATTCGAAATAGAAGTGAATGAGTCCATTTTTAGTAAGAAAGCAATGATGATCGATCTTATTTCTTCACATTATTTATGTTTTATTCCTATTCCATGAAAAAATATCATTCCTATTCCATGAATTTTCTTCTTTTTGTTTTGATTGCCAACATTTTTGCACACACGCCTAGATGTGGGGGAATAATATATGGTGGAAAAGGGGTTTAATGCATCAAACCCCCTAATGATATAGAAATTCAGCGCATTAGTCTATTGTGATTTAAAAAATGCGTCAAACCCCATTGTGCTTTAATTAACCATGCACAGAACCCCTTTTATGAATAAAATTTAACGATTTGGAAACCACTTTTCCTAATATTTTGATTGAATATGCAAGTAAATATGTCAAAATCTCTAAATCATACTGTAATGTTAATCATTTTTCTTTTATTTGACGATTAAATTTGTTCATAGAAGGAATTTTGCGCACGATTAATTAAAACACAGATGGTTCGATGCATTTTTTTACATCGCATAATACTAATACGCTGAATTTCTATATCACATGAGATTTGGTGCATTAAACCCGATGGAAAAGAGAAGAAAGGACGTGAGCATACGAAAGAAAATGACACATAGTACTACACAAAAATGCTTCAATCATCGTGAAAAAGTAATGCACCCTGTATTTTAGATCTCCATAACCATCTTAAAAGATCGAAGCCACTGAAGATTAAATCATGATATAAGCCCTTTTGGTGATGATGTCTTTTAGGTTATTAGGTCTATTAGTAAACATTTTCACCAAACATGTAACTTTTGATTTCGCATGTTGAATTGTGTAATAATAAAAAAAGTAAGATTGAAGTTACTATTCTGGCTGTATTGGCCGAAATTCTTGTTAATGAATATATGTTTTAGCTATTTTTTCAGATTTTTTTTTTCAATTTGATTAATAAAATATAATTTGAATATAAGTTTTACATCAATAAGTAGAATCCGTCAATCCAACCACTTCAACTAGAATTTCATAAGTTTCGGTAGAATCAACCGATACAACCGATTTTTATATTACCATACGAGCTCGTTATAATTACAATTGTTCACACGATAATTTGTCAATAGGGTTAAATCGAAGGGGCAATTTGACTTTGCATCCCGCCTTTTGAATGATGGGTGCAAAGTCAAAGTTTTTTCAAAATGGGGTGTAAAGTTCAATATCACTCAAAAAGTGAGATGCAAAATCAAATTCTTAATAAATTGAACTATAGTCATCTCAACTTGGTTGATAATAGTTGATAGCCATCTACTATTTGTAATGAGTTCTTCTTGCGCAAACTTGACACTTAGAGCCCATTTGGTAATACCAAAGTCGGTTGAAGCGATTGATTCTGCTGAAATTTATGAAATTCTGGTTGAAGTGGCTGATTCTGCTGATTTATTAAAAAATTAAATTTAAAATATATTTTATCAATAAAATAAAGAAAAAAAATGTAAAAAAAGTTAAAATGATCCTCTACAGTAACTTCAGCCAATACAGTCGAAAAAGTAATTTCAACCTTACTTTTCCTTATTACTCCGTATTATGCAATTCAACATGCGAAATTAAAAATTACGTGTTTGGTGAAAAAGTTGGGTGATAAGTCTGATAAGCCGAAAAACTGAGCTAACAAACGGGCTTTTAGTATATCCTTAATAAGTTAAACCTATTTTTATTCTTTTTTGGAAGGAAATAACTTATATTAAAATCAAACGAGCCAAGACAACAATCATATCCCAAGACCTAGTTCTCCCACTAACCAAACAATACCAAAAGCCCATCGCCCCCCTCACGACATGCTCATATATACAATAGTCCACCCCGAAAAGAACTAGACTAATTGCTGAAACGGTGAGAGCAAATAGATTATTAGCAGCTGATCGAGTCAATATGATTGCCTCCATCTGGAAAATACCCTATTAAAAAACGCCAACCCACGAATCCAACCCCGTTATTGTATGCAAGAATAAAAAAGCAACAAAAAACTGAATCTTGTCTAAATAAAAAAACAAATAAAACAAAAGCTCTGAATATCACTCTCACTATAAAATTGGTCAAGTAGTAGTAAATACAGTCAAGTAGTAGTAAATACAGTCAAGTAGTAGTAAATACAGTCAGAAATTAGCAGTAATTCGTATTTCGTAAATCTTAATCGCATGCATATGCATGTGACGTATTGGAATATTGTGGCGGAGTTTACCTACGCGTGCACGCATCCGTTACTCTCACGCGAAAGGGGAACTTCTTCATTGTCATCAGATCTGCAAATATAAATTTTATTATTGTGATTTTTAATGAATGCATTCGCAACAGTGAAGATAATATTTGCTAACCCCATCTGAAATCAATCTACTGCGGATTCCGGGATGGGGTCCGAACTTCAAAATCTACCGCCCGAAACTATCCGACCCGTCCGACCCAAATCCATGGACGACATCGCGGCCAAGGACCACCGCCCGCTTCTCAAGCCGGACTCTAATTCCACGCCGGCGCAAGTCTATACCCAGGCTCCTCCGTCCCCGAGCATGGAGGAGCTTGAGAAGAAGTACGCGCCGTACGTTAGGCACGACGTGTATGGGATTATGGGTCGGGGCGAGCTGCCTGGGAAAGAGAAGGTTTTACTGGCAATAGCGCTGGTCACGCTTTTGCCACTGCGAGTGGTTGCGGCGACCATCATATTGGTGGTTTATTACTTGATTTGTAGGTTTTGCACCGCTTTTTCGGTTCCCAACGGGGAGGATGAACAAGAGGATTATGCGCATATGGGCGGTTGGCGAAGGAAGGTGATTATGCAAAGTGGAAGGTTTTTCTCTAGAGCAATGCTTTTCGTGTTTGGATTTTACTCCATTCGGGAAACTAATCGAAATAGCGACTTCGACTCCAAGTTAAATAATGAGGTACTCTGATGTTGTTCTGTTCTGGTAATTTTATATATAAAAAATAGCAAATTCTTATCATTGGTTTAATAAAATTCATTAGGTTTATATGCCCTAATAACAAACTAGAAATAATGGGCGCAATAGGCAATAGCTATTTGTAACTAAGCACCATGCTATGAGTTTTGCTGCATAGGCTTGTGCTTTTCAGTAATGATGATTAGTACGAAAACAAGTTGAACAAAACGAGTTCTGGATTATCTCCAATTTCATTCATATGTGGTACAGTATATGTATGAAAGAAGGAAACAACAAAAAAAGAAAAGGTCCAAGTTTATTAAGGAGTACTCCGTATAATTTCCCCCTCCTTATATTTAAGGACGGGGTTTGACTACTCAGTTTCGAAACTAACATTCTTTTTTATTTGAAACTTTATGATTTCAAAACAGGGTTTCAAATTATGGCATATAATTTTAGTATGTATAGAGGAGTTTGATATATTATTCACTGTCATTACAGTCATAATGTTTGGAATTCTGTTCTTCATATGGTTAAATATCTATTTCTTTGATGTATACAAATGAAGGACCAAGTTTCAGAACCTGAAAGGCCAGGAGTGATAGTGTCAAATCATGTTTCTTATTTGGATATATTGTACCACATGTCATCTTCATTTCCAAGTTTTGTTGCCAAGGTCAGCTATAATTCCTATAGTTGATTGCCATTTGTTTTCTTCTGTTACATCTTCTTACTATTTTACTTCACATTGGTCCCTGTTTATATTGCTAATGAAGAGATCAGTGGCTAAGCTTCCCCTGGTTGGTCTTATCAGGTCAGTTTACTTTTCTGCTCTTGTTTATCCTAAAAATCCCCAACATCATGCCTATCATTTGTTAGTTTATTAGAGAATTTTTTATGTCTTTTTCAAAACCTTCCAGGCTTCCATCATGATTTAGGTTTGCATCCTTTAAAAAGAGTTGTATGTTTTTCTTTTTTGAGTAAAAGTATGAGCTTCTACAAATTATACATCTTCATAGTGCATACCTTATTGTATATTTCAGTTTTCTGTTACTTTTTAATCAACATGATTTAGTTATTGTGCAGCAAATGCCTTGGTTGTGTCTATGTCCAACGGGAGTCTAGATCGCCCGACTTCAAAGGTGTCTCAGGTACAAGCCAATTGTTCTGTTACATTTTGGAATTGCTGATGTGTGTGACAATTATGTTCATACTCTAGTTATTTAGGTTTACTATGTGACTTTCTAACATCCTGAATTGTGTTTGTATGCATTCAGCCGACTCATCCACCAGATTATAGCCCATAGATACATAAATCGCTTGGGAAGACACGATCTGTGTACCGGTCGTTCCGTACCCAAACGCGGTATGAAATCGATCCGGTCGCATACGAGAACGCTAAACGGTACGGTGGTTGAGTCGATCCCTGTCGCTCTTTGCAACCGCTCTTTGAATCGATCCCAAACACTGTTCAAAGTGATTTGCTCATGAAATCGATCCCAAACACTGTTCAAAGCGATTTGCTCTTCGAATCAATCCCAAACACTGTTCAAAACGATTTTAATCGCCATTTCCCGCCATTGCGCAGGCAGCACAGCTTGAATTGTTGTTTCCCGTTGTTGCCCAGATTGAATCATCGTTTCCCAAATTTGTAACAGGTCGGCGCTTCGTTTCCCGTCGGTGTACTAACAAGCGTACGACTTTCGGACCAGGCTCTTCGATATCTGAGCCTACTAACAACAGTGTACGAATAGCTGTTATAAATTGAGGGAAACAAAGGGAAACACTCTGTCTTCTTCTTCTTCTTACGCTAAACACTCGGTCTTCTTCTTCTTCTTCTTCTACTACTATACCACAGTCCACTTTTGTGACTTTATTAGTTTATTCTCTGCAGTTTCGGGAATATTAATGTTTTTTATTTCTGGAATATTTATGTTTTTTAAAGGAATTTTATCAATTCAGGACCCGAAAGATAGATTAATTATCAATACAGGACCCGAAAGATAGATTAATTATCAATACAGGACCCGAAAGATGAAATGTATCAGTATAGGACCCGAATGATGGAAAACTATCAATTTAGGACCTAACGTTTCACAGGTTTTGATTTATTTAATTTTTTATTAATTCCATTACTAATTTTTGATAAACTTTTCTTCACAAAAGTTTATTAGTTTAATAAAACGAAATAATATTTAAAATTTTTTAATAAAATTGTTTTTGACAACTTAGGTCCTAGATTAATAGTTTTCCATCATTCAGGTCCTAAATTGATAGTTTTTCATCATTCGGGTCCTATATCGATGCATTTTATCTTTCAGGTCCCGAATTGATAATTAATCTATCTTTCGGGTCCTGAATTGATAAAATTCCTTTTTTAAATTGTTTAATGTTATGACTTTGATTATAAAATCTGTTTTTGTTATGAGTTATGAAATGAAATCTGAAATTCAGTTTTATTATAGTATCAAAATATAAGATACAACGTACCGAACACGTGGTACAGCATACCGAACTTGTACTGGAATGAACCTACCCCTCTCCAAACCGGATACGCTAGATCTAGCGAACCGCGTTCCCGATCCTCGTTTCCTTACTGAAGCGTCCGGCGAACTATGTGACTATGCTATAGCCATTATATATGTTGGGTGTATGATGTAAATTAACTTATCAACTTGGGTGGTTCATTTTTAAAGAGAAGGGTATATAGCCAATTTAGTTCCTTGACTTTGCTCTTTCACTCAACTTTAATCCTCGACCTTTTATGAGACTCAAATTAGTCCTTGACTGTGCAATTTGGACTCATTGACTTAATTTGTTTGTAAGTATGGACCAAGTTTAGCCCTTACTCCTTAGCAGATACACAGGTATTTTTCACACTTAGATTAAAAATGTCCAGGGAGTAGGGACTAAATCGAAGGCATCCCAGCAAGGTGAGGGTCCGGGGAAAGGTCCCACTTAGATTAAAAATGTCCAGGGTGTATAAGGAGAAAGCCTTCCCGTGTCAAATGTTGACAAGAGGCTGCACCCAAGCCTTCCCCTTTTCCCTCTATTACCAGTTTGGTGAACAGGAAGTTCTTATAAATACTTCTCAATACATTAAGTAGATATACAGTTAGAAGTATGCTAATTTGATATTTCAGTTCATTTCATACTCTATGTTTTTTATTGCAGGCGTAGTAAATGAAAGGATCAAAGAAGCTCATCAGAATAAGTTTGACCCAATAATGATGCTTTTTCCAGGTTTTGCTTCTCACAGCAATTTTTTATCACGTTGTGTAGTTTCTCCTTTTTTGTGCTTCTTATCCTTTTTATCTATGTTATCTTCTTTACCTTAATATCTTATTATCTTTTTTTTTTAATCTTGTTAATCTTATCTTTATCTTTATCATACTTGTATCTTGTCTTTTTTTGTCTTTATCTTGCCTTATCTTTTTTTTATCTTTTTAATTCCGATTTCATATATCAAGTCATGTTAGCTGACCCCAAAATTTTTTGGGGCTATGGCTTGGATGTTGTTGTATCGTGTAGCTTCTCCTTGCCTGTTAGTAATAAACAGTTTCCAGGTTGAAAGAGATGTTACTTTTACGTCATTCATCTTTATTTTCCAATTTTCTCTTTTGGCACACACTTGCAGAAAATTTTCACCTTGGCGGTGTGTTTGATCATTTTAGCATCTCTAAAAAGGTATTTTATGAATTACAGAGGGAACTACTACAAATGGTGATTTTCTTCTTCCATTCAAGACTGGCGCCTTTTTGTCAAAAGTACCAGTACTTCCTGTTATTTTAAGTTACCCATATCAAAGATTTAGCCCTGCCTGGGACTCTATTGCTGGGGTGAGTATTTCGTGTGAATTTTGGACACTTTCATTTTGTAGTTTGAACCAAGTCCAGAATCTTACCACTGGACTAGTGGATGCCTCTATCTATTATACTCTGTTTGTCTCTTTAGAGGGAATATAAAATTTTACATAGGTAATAATGAATACTTGTATCACTTATTTTTCTTTATGTTTTTCCGATGAAGAATGTTTTCCTTCATTTTCTTTGTTTTCCTTTTTACATCTGAAAACAATAACATGGTATTATGGTAATACAAACTTCTTAAAGCAGTCTCTTAGGAGATGTTTGGAACTTGGGAAATGACCATTACAGGAAAAAATAATAAGGGAAGTGTTTTTTATATTTGGTTTTACCTTTATAATTAGGAAGGAAAACCGATTTTGGTTTATAAAAAATACTTGGACAAATATCTAAACGTGTTTGAATAAGTTGGAAGCAATTTGTTTCCACCAGTCTCTTCTTAGTTCTTTCAAATTTAATCCGTGTTTCACCCTTTTTTGTATCCTTGGCACTTTTCGCATTCCAAACATACCACACACTAGGGATTAGCAAACTTATTAATTTTTATCCGCAGGCTCGGCATGTTATTTTACTTCTCTGCCAATTTATTAATCATATGGAAGTGATTCGGTTACCCATTTACTTTCCCTCGCAACAAGAAAAGGATGACCCAAAACTTTATGCGGAAAATGTACGAAGATTAATGGCACGTGAGGTATGCAATTTTTCAGTAATTTTCCAGAGTTTCGAACTAGCTTCATAGTAATTGTGTTAATTATAATATACAGCATTAATTTATATCCTCTGATCCGTTTTCATCCTCCATACCAGGGAAATATGACACTCTCAGATATAGGATTGGCCGAGAAGCGAGTATTTCATGCTGAACTGAATGGTAATATTAGAATGTTGTGTACTAATCATCATCAGAAAGACGAATGATAATTTCTTGAGCATTGCCCTGACGCCAAGTAGTTCGATCCTAATTGCAGTGTTTGTCATCATTAAAGTATATAAAGATTCATGTGTGTTTTCCACTAAAAACAATAAACTCTGTCATTGTACTTCTGTAACAATAATGGATACTAACAAGTTTCTTTAATGACAAGTATATGTTGATGCTGCTTTAGCATAAAAAGGTTGAATGTCAAAACTCCCATGCATGTTTTTGTGGTGGTGGTGGGGTGGGGGGGGGGGGGGGGGTTGAGAGTTAGATGGAACATGTGTGTATGCAGCGTGGGTAGACAGAAAGGGGAGTTGCTTATGATTTGGGGGAGGGGGGAATATGAAACAAATATGTCTGAAGTCTCTTTTTGGTGTTCCTGCAGGTCTCTTTATCCAACGGTAATTCAGGTTCACCATCTGTGTAAATTCGTTGTATGATGTTATTTATTGATTAGAGAAAAAGTAAAAAAGTAAATTGCTGGAAACTGATTACGGACCCCACACATAGTTGTTCAGATTAAGGTGATGAAATTGCCGCGTCCATATACTACTTAAAACATGCAATCTCCGGATATTGACATTTCATTGCAGCTTCAGTTTCTCTCTTTCAACCCCTGGGAAGCTGTCCAATTTTTTCTAGAACTTGCGTACCTCGGCAGTTCTAGTTTTTACTAGACTAGACTGGCAAATGCTTCTTGCTGATATTCATTGTAAAGGTCGATGCTGCTTTAGTTTCTTCCTACTTAGCTGGTTAACCTGGTTTTGTTTTAGATTTTTACTGTTCATATACTAGGTCAGGAAACTCAGAAGTCAGAACTATTCGCAAATGTGTTCTATAAAATGCAAAATTTTATCTGAGTCTTGTTTTTTACTACGTATTAGTTAGTGACTTAGTGGGTATATGGTGTTCCTCTTGTTTTTTGTTTTTTTGTTTCCTGCTTAGACCATTTCTCTAAAACTCTCCTTTTTGAAATGGATATAGGAATTTATATAGGGTTGCCGGGTTGGAGGGCAGACTGACTGATTTGTGCTGAAAGAAATAAAGTTGGTTGTCCCTTTTTCTTTTCATTTTATGCACTTTCTTGTGTGCGTGTTAACGTGTTGGTGCACGTTGAAAAAGAGAGAACTGAGAATCTGGAGTAGTATGAATTTAAAATTGAAAGATTAAAGAAATACGTAGTAAAACGCAAAATTTATACATTCACTCTTTGTGCAATGGTAATATTAATCCAAATAGTATGAGTGTATGACTAGGGAAAGAAAATAATAACATTACTTGAAATATGTAGTTTACATTTAGGAAAAATTGATAGTAATAATCCTAATTAATAATAATTCTAATTATCAATAATGTCATAATAATTACAATTTTAGAGACCTTTCGGCTTCTGTTAATTATGGTCCGATGTGACCGGTTACTTGTTCAGTCAATTAAAAAAGAAATATCATTTGTCGACTTTTGTTGGACCCAAAAAATTAAATTAAATTTTCCATAAATATATCAAAAGTGAAAAAAGATTATACTAATTTATTTTTACTTAATTAACTTTTTAAGGAAGTTTGTGGAATTAAAGAATATAAATATATAATTTAGAATATGGAAAAACTTACATAAATTTCAAAATTAAAATTTCATAATATGTAAGATATTATAAATATATAACGAATATAAGACATATAAATAGAGTAAAATTAAGTACAAATTCAAATTAAAAAAATAAAAACCTTTCTTTTTAAAATTAAGAAAGTGAAAAAATAAAAATACTAATACTTTTTGTTAATATAAAATTTTTAAAAGCTAATCATCCTAAAATATTAAATCATTTTGAATGAGTAAAAGATAAAAAAACTTATGAATTTGCAAAAGAATCCAAAAAGATTATGCATCAAAAATTAGAAAGAAAAAACCTGAAAATAAAATAAAAAATAAAATGTCACATTTTTCTTTCTAAAACGCAATACGTTTTTATATTTAGATAAACTTTCATTTATAAATTCAGAATTTGATATTGAAATAAAATTTTCTAGTTTTACTAAAAAAATGTGTAGATGGTGGGGAATATTAAAAGAAGAACGAGCATTATTTAGATTATTTATAGGCTTGTATTTAAAATTGACATGTTATACGGAGTAGCATGATATACCTGGTCATGGATCATTATTAATGGAAGGTTCATATAGTTGGGATTATATAGAAACAATCAAGTGGAAATTTCCCGTTCAGTCCAGCTTTATTTATTGCATATCATTTATGTCACCTAATTATTTATTTTTCAAATATAAACTTTTGACTTTTCACTTTTGTTTTTTTATTTCAAAAATAACCTAGCTAAATCAAAACTCAAAGGGAGAGATCGATCGTTGGCAATCTGGCATCTGGCCTGAAGCAGAAGCGTGTACGGCTGTTCTCCATCTACCTTGCTCTTGCTACGCCTCCGACCTCCGTGGCTTCGGCCTTCGCACTCTGCCCTCCGTCCTGTGCGGCTCTATGCGTCGTCGTCTGTCCTGTGCGGCTTTGCGCTCCATCCTCCGTCCTGTCCTCCGATTCAATTTCTCCGACGGACCTTCACTTCCACAATTGAACAATTGCTTCTCGGAGGCTTAATTTGACTTCGTGCTCTTCGGATTCTTCTCCTTGGTGAATTTCAATCCAGCGATTATCACTAGTATGGATTAGATCGTTTTGAGGTAACTTCAATAAGTTATGAATAATTTTTTTAATATTTGTTGCCCAATCTGATTATGTAGATGATGTTCTGGTGAAGAATATATTAATTCTCTCTGAAGAATATGATTTAGATGTTTGCTTTGGACGTTTCTATTTTCAACATTGATTAACTAGCATGTAGCATCTAGTTTTGCATTTTAATTTGCATAAAAGTGCAAGGTATTGTATCTGCAGAATTTTCCAATAAGAGAGCGAGCACAGATGCTGCAAATCTGCTAAGTCCAAAGGGAATAGCATATATTCATGATACCAATCAATTTTGTGAATGGAAGAACACACAGTCTGGATTAACCCCTTTATCTCGTTAGAAAGCTCATGTAGAACAGAGGTCTGGATTACCAATCAATTTTGTGAATGGTAGAACACGCAGTCTCGGTGCAAATCTGCTAAGTCCAAATTAAAGAGAATAGCATATCTTCCATTTTACACAATCTGCTATACCTCGGTGGAAAGAGTTTCTGGATTCAGACTGCCTTGGCCGCTCTATTAGTGTGTGTACCGTAAGTCTTAGTTTCTTATTCATATACAAACAATACAACATGGTACCTATCGATGATGATAAATGGTTATTTAGGACAGTATGTGTTTGTACATTTCAATTAATTGTTTTTTCCCATGAATTTTTTATGATGCCTCATTATTGGACAAGTTGATAATCGTATGAGTGTAAGAGTTCATATATATCATAGTATGGTCAAAGTGCAAGTACATTAACAACAATTACATATGAAGGTTCAGCCAATGGTTTGAATCCACCCAGTAAAAGCAAGGCAAAGGTGGCCTAAATTTGATCCCCTAATTGAGGTTTAAAGTATTTTTTTGTTTTAAGTTTTGTTGGGAGGCAGATGGAGTTCCTAACAATGCAAAGCGTGGCATAGAAAGACGTAAGAATACATAGATAAGTTTTATAATTGTGATGGGAGTTTTGTATGCCTTAAGATCGCAGGTTGTACACAAGCTGTAAGAAGTTGCATAACATCTTGCCTCAATATATATAGGGAGCATATATATGTTGGTTCCGGTTATACTGGATACAGTCTAGAGGGGGGGGGGTGAATAGACTGTATTGGTTTTTAGCTTTTTAAACTAAGTACCAGATTTTACAGAATAGTCTGTTCTGTTGACAGAACAGACTGGCAGCGGATGGGGTTCTGGTAGGGAGTTCTGTTGATTTAGCCTCAGAGAAGCAAAGGCAGTAGGCCTTCTGTTAACTCGTAGGACAAGTTCTGTTGAACACAGATACCAAGTCTAAGGAGTTAGACAGTTCTATCTAAGTGCAAATATTAAAGCAGTAAGTAAATGACACCAGGGATTTTTATAGTGGTTCAAGGAACAACTTGTTCCTCTAGTCCACTGTTCCACTAAGCTGTAAAAACTTCCGTTTACAAAGCCTTAGTCCTAGCACTTAAGAAGCTCTCCACGTCTTCTTCAAGCCTAGATGTCTCCTGGGATGCACTGCCTGGCTTCCTTTAAGACTGGTCCTTTCACTGAGCTTCCTGGAAGTATCACCACTTCACTACTCCAGTTACTTGGACGTCCTTCTTGTTGCAAGAAGAGTTTCTGTTAACACAGGGGTTCCTCCAACTAGCTTCGTTACAAAGGATTTGTATGTGATGAGCTTGAAGAGTTGAAGAACACTTGGAACTTTGCTTGAGTTGGAAAAAGTATTTTTCCAACTTCTGCCTTCTCTTGTAGAAGATGATGAAGTGTTAATCTCAAGGAGGCTTTTTGCTTTTCAGAGTTTGAATTTCTTGTATGAAGAGTTGTAGCAAAGGTTAGCAAAAATTGCAAAGTTATCCGGTTGTTCTTCGTAGTGTATCTTTTATACTGAGGCTGTCTTCCCGTTGGAGGAGTAGGAGGACAACTGCATTAAATGAGCGATCAGTTGACTTGACTAGTAGAGCCCGGTAAAGTTGGCGGGTTACTATTTTGGGATAAAGTATTCCTGACATTGCGGCCAATCATCTGCAATTACTCTACGGAGCATGGGGTGCATTAAATGAGCATTTAATGCGCGTACTGTAGCTTTTCCGTTCAATACTCCTAGCCGTTGAAGGAATCTTTTAGTTGACTTCCCGGTTCTGTGGAATTCTTCTAAGTGTCAGACCTTCTGGTGTCTTTAACTGAGAGTAGAACAGAGGAGGTCTGGAACACTTCTGTTGAGAGTATATCCAACAGAGACCCAGAGGGGTTTCTGTCAGAGTAAAGCCTAATAGAGACCCTGAGGTCTTCTGTTCCGGAGCAGAGAACCAAAGGTCCTCTGTTTCAATAAAGTCTTAAGAGGGTCTTTTGCTCTTGGAGCCCTTCTGCTCAGAAGGTCTTCTGCTCTTGGAGCACTTCTGCTCAGTCGATTACACTAAGAACTTTACAAGTGAAAATGCTAATACATTAAGTCTAAATAGGGGTACTCTAAAGTCCTAATTAATCTAGCATCATCAAAATCTAAATACAAATATTCCTTACAATTTCCCCCTTTTTGATGATGCCAAAACCCTTTAACTATTTCTAGAGAAGTGCCTTCACCATAAAGAAGGATTAAAGTTTAAAAACTTCTATTAAAATCTTGGTGGGCAACTTGGCATAGGAAAATAGTAAGAGTACAGTACATTCAGATAGCAGAATATAAATGAAATAAAGAAACACAAGCAGAAGGAAAAAAGATAGGAATTGAAGAAAAGCACTTCAAAGTAAGAAGGCAGAGATGTGATTTTATTAGATAAGTTTTACAGAGTTAAACCTTACACATTCTCCAGATTAGCTGCTTGCAGAGCTTCTTCCTCCAGTCTTTGAAGCCTGAGCAGTTCTTCATTTATTTCAGCTCTGATCTTGAAAAGGTTGCCAGAGCTTTGATAAGATGCCCAGATGGGAGAAAGCTTGCAGTCAAGATAGCTGAGAACACCTTCATCTATTGTCTTGCCTGGGACAATGTTCTTCTTATACCATTCTTCAGCTTCTTCCAAGGATCCCCCATACCTAACTCTCACAACACCATCTTTGTCCAAATAGAGGTGCTGTTGTTGGGTGCGAGTCATTTTGGCCTTCATCTCTTCAAACTGATCTCTGTCAATTCTCTGAGATCCACCCAATCTCCATTCAGTGAAGTTAAAAACTTTCTTCTTCTTGGTG